TATATTGCAACAGAGAGAGAGAGAGAGAGAGAGAGAGAGAGAAGGAGAGGGAGAGCGAGTGAGAGAGAGAGAAGGAGAGGGCGAGCGAGCGAGAGAAGGAGAGAGAGAGAGAGAGAGAGAGAGAGAGAGAGAGAGAGAGAGAGAGAGTGATGGTATGGTAGGGTAAGGGACAGGAACTAGCTACGCCTCAAACACCACCAATTGCTGGTGTGATGGATTTAATAATCTGAAGCATTCTGAATGTTCATTAGGCGTTCTTCTATCTGCCCTCGATCACTCTGTCCACTCTCCATCCCTCCACCCGCCCCCACCCAAACAAACCCACACATTCAGCGCGGTGGCTGCGGAGAACAGGAGATTATTAGAGACAGTCACATTCACACGGACCTATTCACACCACAGCCGGAAATGACAAACTCAACAACTACATTCAATTCCTTTGCTTCCCTCATTCCTTCAGGAACATGATCAAACATGCATTAGATCGACACACAGAATCATAAAAGCTGTTGTTGTGCAATAAACAGAGCATTCATTACTGCTGCGTGTCAGGCACTGTGTCCTCGATCAGGGAGGCCAGCTAATGAATTTGCTGTAACTGAACACTGCGTACTTTTATCAAGTTGTATCCATTTTAAAAACCACGAATGGTCTATGAAAGCCACTGATGGTTGTGCTGTTTTCTGAATTCATTTTGCTGCATATTATTGTGCACGGTAATTTTAGTATCATTATTTAGTTTAAGCCTGCTAATTCTGCTGTGTTTTTAACAGGTTCATTAGCTTTGTTTTTTGTTTGTTTAATTTGCTATTTAATTTTCAATATTTCTCAGTTTTAGTGCAGTTATTTTAAGTTTTAGTTCTAGTAATTTCACTTTAACTTTAATTCAAGTTTAGTTTTGTGATTTTGTCAATTTGAGTATTTTTTAAATGTCTATTTTGCATTTTTATTATTTTAATCTTAGTATTTGTTTAGTTATTTCCATTTTTTATTTTCAATAATTTAATGTGTTTTAAGTTTTAGTAATTTTTTATTATTTTTTATCTTATATTTGAGTTATTTTTAGTTATTCAATTTTAGTTTTAAGTTTAAGTTTGTCATTTTAATGTCAATTTAGTTTTTATTATTTTCTTTTTCTCAGTTTAGATATTTTCAGTTTTAGTTCTAATCATTTCATTACTTCAAGTTAAATGAAATTAAAATGCTTAGAAATATCTATTGAAAATATAACCGAAATTTTGTCTATATTTTATTTTATTTCAAACATCATTTCTTTTATCTCACTTAACGTAAATGTTTTTGCTAGTTTTAGTTTCAGCTCGAGTTAACGATAATAACACTGACTGAGCACAACAACATCCAACAATGGTGTGAATAGGCCTTTACATGAGAGAAAGTCCAACACAAACACACACGTTTCCTCGAGAGGTTCAGCAGCGTCACACACAGTCGGGTCCCTTCAGACGGAGGAAACTCATGCAAACACACACACACACACACACACACACGTCGGTGACGTGATTATCCTGTATAAAGGCAGAAATGAAAGCATCAGTGTGCAGCGCTCAGCAAACCCCCTGTGCATGAGGAACCTAAAAAAATTACATCTTTAATTTGCACCAGCAATCAAAATTTCATCACACTTTATTTTGAGCTGCAGTTCAGCTACAATGAGGAACGAGCAGCGTCTCATGATGCACTGCAAACAGAAGAAGGGAATCAATGAATGAGCGGGTGAATGAGTGCGTCTGTTAGCCGCGCGTTGCTCCGCACTGAAAGAGCAAACAGAGACGAGAGTGACTCTGCAGGAGGAGACAGAAAACACACCCCAGCCCAACAGCACTACACCCACCGGAGGAGTGGAGAGAGGAGCGACTGAGGGAGGAAGAACGCAAACACAGGGAGGAGGTGAAGACAGGAGTGATGACAGCAGAGGAGAGGAGAGACGAGAACAGAACAGAAAAGCCTGGTTTATACTTCTTACTCTTCATTAGAGCAGGTGCGCCTGTACGACTGAGGCAGCAGAAAACCACTGCAAATAATGCTAAAAACACAGCATATGTTCACTGTGTCTGTTCATGTTTGCAAAGATAAATGACCTTTTATACTATGAAAAAAAGCATCTAAAGAATAAGCAAAAGCTGATTTTTTTTATATAAAAATCTCTGACAAGACATTTTATAATTATTATATACATTTGTCTTTTTATATAAAAACTGTTCAGTCTGTGTGTGTGTGTATGTATTTATATAAACATGTTTCCATTACATATTTCTATACTACCTTTAGTAAACTGAATAAAAAGCTCAAAACAATGAAAACAAAATCTGGCATCATCATAAATATACTTGAAGAGCTTGCTAATATATATATATAGATAAATTCTTATATAGGGGGCAAAAACAAATGTGTTGCGTTTATAATTTTGTTCAGTGTACATACATATAAAAATGTTGTGTATCATGTAACTTCGATAAACTGAATAATAAGGTCAAAACAGAAAACTCAAGTTTGATATCATTGTAAATATACGCAAAGATCTTGTTAATTTTTTATTTTGTAAAATCAAAAGCATCTTTATGAAATGTAACGTGTGTTTAAATGTAATTGCAGAGTATTATGGTGTAAACGGAAAACATGAAACAAAAATAATGCCACTGGGTTATCGTTTCAAAACGACATGAAACGACAGTATAAACAAGGCTTAAGAGAAGAGAAGAGGAGGAGAGGAGAGGAGAGGAGAGGAGGAGAAGAGAGGAGAGGAGGAGGGGAGAGGAGAAGAGAGGAGAGGATGAGAGATGAGACGAGAAGAGGAGAGGAGAAAAGAAGAGGAGTGGAGGAGAGGAGAGAGGAGACAAGGAGAGGAGAGAGGAGAGGAGGGGAGGAGGAGAGGAGAGGAGAAGAGAGGAGAGGAGGAGAGGAGAGGAGGAGAAGAGAGGAGAGGAGAGGAGAGGAAAAATAGAAAATGTCGAAAAAATGTGCTGTGTGGTTATGTGTGTGTAATTTGCCTGTGTGTGTATAAGCTTATTATTAGGACTATTATAGCTAACTATAATAAACTAAAAATAATTGTTACATAAAAGTACTAAAATTACTTTGAAGTACTAAAAAAATTGCAATTAAATAAACTAAAATTAATAAATAAAAATAATAAAAACCATACAGACATGTTAAAAAATTGACATGATACAATGATACAATGACAAAAACATGACAAAATTACCAAAACTAAAAATTAACTAAATTTTAAAATTAACTAAATTAAATAATAAACAAAATTAAATAGTTTTTCAACAAATTAAATAGCTTTAAATTAATGAAAGTGACAACAGAAAATGTAAAAAATAAATATAAATGTAAAAAGATATATGTATGTGTGAGAGAGAGTGTGTGTGTGTTACTCACTGTAAGGGACACACTCATACTGGATCTCCAGGTATTTGTAAGTGCCAGGACAGGGGTCAGGAAACACATCTGCCCCGGCGACGACTACACACTGGGTCCTGTTATTACACCTGAAACACACACACACACACAGTCATCACACACTGGGTCCTGTTATTACACCTGAAACACACACACACGGTCATCACACACTGGGTCCTGTTATTACACCTGAAACACACACACATGACCATCAGTGCTGTACTGCTATTGTCTCGCACTGCTCAACAGCCACACAGAGGAGAGGAGTCGCCAGAGATGTCAATAGCCAGCAGACTGATGATGACGGGTGAGAACGTCTGAGAGACGCTTCAGACTGAGATCGTGTGACTGATCTCACATCAGCTCAACTCAATGAAGAAGATCTGCTCATCTCTCTCTCTCTCTCTGTGGAAATGGATAGAGTGAAGTCACATTGATTTGTTCTTCTAGGAAACAGCAGCTGCTCAAACACTGGGGAGACACACTGACGCCAAAACACTCAAACACACACATAATCTCATTCAAACACACGTGTGTGTGTGTGCACTCAGGATAAATGAGCACATATCATATACAGTACTTACAGTGTCTTTACATAAAGCTAATCATTATGACTAACACATTATTTTCACTTATAGTAAAACCATTTTGTGAAATGAGAACATCCTCACATTACTCCAAAGACAGGCTGTCTCAAATCTAGCTCACTTCTGGAGACAGTTTTGTCCCAAATTATATGTATACTGTAAAAAATCAAATATATATTTTCCATTTATTGGGACCTTTTGAGTCTCAAATACTGAGAAACTACATGAAAACCCATTTTAGACCAACAGAATCCCTCCAAATCAAACACACACACACACACACACACACACACACTCACTCTCACACACACACACACACACTCACACACCCACACACACACACACACACACACTCTCTCACACACACACACACACACTCACACACCCACACACACACACACACACACACTCTCTCACACACACACACACACACTCACACACCCACACACACACACACACACACACTCTCTCACACACACACACACACACTCACACACCCACACACACACACACACACACACTCTCTCACACACACACACACACACTCACACACCCACACACACACACACACACACACTCTCTCACACACACACACACACACTCACACACCCACACACACACACACACACACACTCTCTCACACACACACACACACACTCACACACCCACACACACACACACACACACACTCTCTCACACACACACACACACACTCACACACCCACACACACACACACACACACACTCTCTCACACACACACACACACACTCACACACCCACACACACACACACACACACACTCTCTCACACACACACACACACACTCACACACCCACACACACACACACACACACACTCTCTCACACACACACACACACACTCACACACCCACACACACACACACACACACACTCTCTCACACACACACACACACACTCACACACCCACACACACACACACACACACACTCTCTCACACACACACACACACACTCACACACCCACACACACACACACACACACACTCTCTCACACACACACACACACACTCACACACCCACACACACACACACACACACACTCTCTCACACACACACACACACACTCACACACCCACACACACACACACACACACACTCTCTCACACACACACACACACACTCACACACCCACACACACACACACACACACACTCTCTCACACACACACACACACACTCACACACCCACACACACACACACACACACACTCTCTCACACACACACACACACACTCACACACCCACACACACACACACACACACACTCTCTCACACACACACACACACACTCACACACCCACACACACACACACACACACACTCTCTCACACACACACACACACACTCACACACCCACACACACACACACACACACACTCTCTCACACACACACACACACACTCACACACCCACACACACACACACACACACACTCTCTCACACACACACACACACACTCACACACCCACACACACACACACACACACACTCTCTCACACACACACACACACACTCACACACCCACACACACACACACACACACACTCTCTCACACACACACACACACACTCACACACCCACACACACACACACACACACACTCTCTCACACACACACACACACACTCACACACCCACACACACACACACACACACACTCTCTCACACACACACACACACACTCACACACCCACACACACACACACACACACACTCTCTCACACACACACACACACACTCACACACCCACACACACACACACACACACACTCTCTCACACACACACACACACACTCACACACCCACACACACACACACACACACACTCTCTCACACACACACACACACACTCACACACCCACACACACACACACACACACACTCTCTCACACACACACACACACACTCACACACCCACACACACACACACACACACACTCTCTCACACACACACACACACACTCACACACCCACACACACACACACACACACACTCTCTCACACACACACACACACACTCACACACCCACACACACACACACACACACACTCTCTCACACACACACACACACACTCACACACCCACACACACACACACACACACACTCTCTCACACACACACACACACACTCACACACCCACACACACACACACACACACACTCTCTCACACACACACACACACACTCACACACCCACACACACACACACACACACACTCTCTCACACACACACACACACACTCACACACCCACACACACACACACACACACACTCTCTCACACACACACACACACACTCACACACCCACACACACACACACACACACACTCTCTCACACACACACACACACACTCACACACCCACACACACACACACACACACACTCTCTCACACACACACACACACACTCACACACCCACACACACACACACACACACACTCTCTCACACACACACACACACACACACTCACGCACACACACACACACACACACACACACACACACATATATATGGCTTCCAAAATTACAGATCAATTTATTGTGTTAGTTAAACAAGAAATCGGTAGTTGCCTTGATGAATTTGTCGGCTGAATGAGTCATTTTGCATTAGTGAATGAATAAATTCAAGTTGACAAAACACACCAGTGTTACTCTTCCTACAGTGATTAGTAGCTGACAGAATCTGGATCTGAATGCTGGAGTTTGTGTTGGATCTGTACCTGTGTGACATGATCTTGAACGCGTCTGGCTGGTAGCACTGCACGTTCTCCATCTGGAAGGGGTCGGCGTCGCAGATCTTGTCGTCGGTGCGGCCGTAGTTGGCCGTCTCGATCATGATGACATCACTTCCTGGGCAGCGCAGCTCGATGGGGTATCCCTCACACGCCAGCTCTCTCCTCATCAGACCGAAGGGCATCGCCGCTCGACTCAGCCCTGATGATCACAGACACACAGTATCCTGACGGGCTTCTCTCTCACACTCAACATCTGTCTGCGGCTCAACAAGATCATGTGATTGTATTCTGCCTCACGTCTCAAGAATCAGTGATTTATTAATATTCAACAGGTGCATCTACAGAGGAATAAAGTAGAGCGACTGAAGCTAAGCCCTTGAAATGTTGTATTCAAAATACGAAATAGTGATGTTAGTCATATGCATATGCTTAAACCCATGATATTGAAGGATTTTTACTTATGCACCGAATAAAACACATCAAATGCTCTTTCAGCCAATAGAATTGCTCCAGGGTCTGAGGGGGCGGAGTCTGGGTCATGACAGAACGGCAGGCGTTTTAGGATGCAGAACTCACCTTGTTCAGAGGGAGCGATGTTGCTAAGCAACACAGGACACATCCACAGTAACCAGAGTGACAGCGCCATGGCAACGACAGAGGTACGGACAAGATGAAAGGGGCGGGGCAGTCTCCTGTAACGTCAGCTGAACCTGCAGAGACAGACGGGACATCAGGAGAATTAGTGACAGAGAGACCTGATTCAGTCTGATGGCATTACAGAGAAACACACGCCGGGTAACGGTCAAGAATGAGATGAGAGGAGAGTACAGCCGAAAACTCCTGCTTCAGCACTGGCTTAGTCTAAGGTCACAACAAAAATAAGTTTTCTCATAGCCAAACACACAAACACACTACTTGCAATCAGCATGTTTTACAATATTATATAACTTCTTATATAATGAAATGACTCTCCGACTGTTGCATCTAAGCTGATTGGTTCACGTTAGTAAATCAGATTTGCGTCACGCTCTTCACATTCATATTTAGTTTGTCATTTACATTCACTCAAGAGGATAATGCGTTTTAATTGCAGTGAAGAAGGTCAGTGCTCATACTAATATGATCTCTGTGTTTATTGATGCGTCTATTGATCATCAGGCTCCAATACTGTCATAGCGGGAGCTGCTGCCGACGCACATGATCACAACATCAGACGAAAGAGCAACTGAACGGCTCGAAACTGCTGTTTCGTGTGAGGATTGAGCTCAAACCTGCAGCCTCAGTCAAATGAAATACAGTCACAATATCATATAGACTCATTCCTCATATACAGGTTTACGGGTGGATATATCTGTAAAATATAATCCTGAAAGCACAATCAAATATACCAATGTATCCAAGGTATCTTGTCTATTTGCTGCCAAAGATTAGGATGCATTTGCTTCTTCATCAGGTTTGTAGAAATGTAGCATTGCATCAGTGTCTCAGCAATGGATGCTCTGCGGTGAATGGGTGCCGTCAGAATGAGAGCTGATAAAAACATCACAATAATCCACACCTCTCCAGTCCATCTGGGAAAATTATTATTTAAGGATCAGTAATTCCGGATCTTGCACACACATTGATCGGTCGGCGGCCATCTCTCGATGTACAGTCGCCATGGCAACGCTGAAATAAGGGCTGCGGCGGCCGAGGCGATTCACATCTCTCGCTCATTTGTGTTTCTCTCTCTGCTCTGTGCGTCCAGGCTGGTTTTGTCCTGCTATGATCTATGTCTCATTTCTCTTTCACTGTTAGCAGTGCTGTGTGTGAACCCCCTGCGGGCTCCGTCTCTATTGATGGTGCTACAAAAATACTCCGGTCCCAGGAGGCGGAATCAGACGATTTATCAGGAGCGTTTCCCCAGGCGCAGCGACTCGCACCAGGACCAGAGCTAAAATCCAGCCACAGGCTTCAGTGCGGCCGTATGCATTACACTCCAATCACTGATAACAGATGTTAGAAACGCTGGTCTGTGATCGTATACAGTTGTACTTCATTGGATTTCCTTCATCACTGTGCTAGTTTCATGTCTCTTTTATCACTCCACTCTCTTTCTTCTCACATAATACAATCATTTAGACTCAAATCAATCGTTTACGTCCATTTTTATTTATTAATTCACTAAGCAGCCGTATAATAAGTGGCTCTGCTTCACATCAGACTCCTGATCAATGTCTAGCAATGCAATACAATATATTACCAATGATTTCGGAAGAAACATTTTAGAAAATGTTCATGCAAAGTATGTAATTCACATTAGCCTCTAAACAACAGATAATAAAAGTTGATGTGCTCTTATTACAATCTCGGCTTTTTTCAAGTTATAATTTATGTTGATAAATCTTCTATAAATTATAAATGTAAATAATTTATACATATTTTTATTAATTAAAATTATTTACAAACATGTTTTATAATTAATCAATGTTTTTACATTTATAAATATTTTTTTATGATTAATCGATGGTTAAAATTTGATCTGTTAACGTTTAGAAAGTTTCTATTTTTTACATATTATTGTCAACAAAAATTATATGCCACTTAAATGAGTGTAAAATGGACCGAATTGACAAAATTTAAAAGACATTTTTGTCAAAAGACAACCCTAAAAATGGTGTAAGCAGTAACACTGGAATCATAATCTTATAACTCATATATAATCACTGGATAAATATAATAGGAATAGCACACACACACTTCCTCATCTATCTAAATGGGGACACTGCATAGACTTCTATTGATTTTATACACAGCTAGTTCTAAATACTATCACCTAACCCAAACACTAACAGAAAACTTTACATTTTTACAATTTAAATATATATTTTTATACTGTTTTTACAAATGGGGCATCCTCAAAAGCAGGCTTTGTCAGATTTAGCTCACATCTGGTACAAATCTAGCCCTTAAATATGGTTAAGTAGCTATAAACACACACATTCATACTGACTGATTCTAAACAAATGAAGAGGACAGACATTTAGATCCCCACCGCCGTATGGAAATCAGAAACACGATACAGACTAAATAAAGTTGGCTACATACAAACCGCACACACACACACACACACACTCTCTCTCTCTCTCACACACACACACACACACACACACACTCTCTCTCTCTCTCACACACACACACACACACACACACACTCTCTCTCTCTCTCACACACACACACACACACACACACACTCTCTCTCTCTCTCACACACACACACACACACACACACACTCTCTCTCTCTCTCACACACACACACACACACACACACACTCTCTCTCTCTCTCACACACACACACACACACACACACACTCTCTCTCTCTCTCACACACACACACACACACACACACACACAGAGAGAGAAAGAGAGAGCCCTGTACCATTGATCAGTCTAGACACAAGCGTCACACTTCAGACGCCATCAACACCCTCAAACACAGAGTTTGTCTCTGTCACTGAATGAAGTGAAGCAGCCAAAACACGGACGGACAGCTGAAGATCAGCCAATCGCCAGCCTGTGTGCTGAAGCGTCTCCACAGGACACAAACACACAGAATTACTGCATTATAACAAGACATCGTCACCTGTTTATGGTTCAACAGGTGCACTGACAAAAATCTGGTGTAGGATTTTTACTCAGAAATTGCTAGTAAATTTCACAAATAATTACAAAGAAATGGCAAGTAAGACATTCAATTAAACATTGCATTTTTGTAAATTGTATTTTCTTGTCAAACGTACTCAGTATGACGTCACAGGCATCAATCACATGACATACACATCACTCACACCTGTGACCCATGTGAAAGTGTGAAACTTAATGTCAGACAACTCCATCTGTCTATCCATCAGAGCTCATGAGTCACTGTTTCTCATGCATCTGTCTCACTCGCTCCCTCATGATCACACACACACACACACACACACACACACACACACACACACACAGGATCCCTAATGGCTCAGTGACTTGCACAAATAACACCTTCTACTTTAGCACTGGCAAAACACTGGAGACTGACACACCCTCTCTCTCTCTCACACACACACACACACACACACTTCTTCAATTTATATATAATTATATTATTTCAAGTAATTAACATGTTTTTTTAGTTTTTGTTTAGTTTAGTTAACTACAATAACCCGGGTTCAGACTATATTAAATGTATCATGCATTAACCAGACTCTCACATCTGGAATTAAAATTGTATACACACACTCCATAAATAACGCAATTTTCATTTTCACTGTCAGAATATAAACTAAACTAATTAGTGCAAGTCATGCAGAGAAAAACAAATCATATCTTCTCTGTCCAGGGTTTATCCTCAAGCAGAATACATTTTAGTAAGGTTTAATTCAATTAAGGTTTAATCAATCTGAGTAAAATGGAAGATCCATTATATGTATCTTCGAAAACATTCATGAGACACAAATGTTATTCTATGTCTATTAAAGATGAATTTGCCTTCAAGTGTAATTAAATGTCAAAGTCTAATTAAAGTCCGGCTGTGTTGCACTCTCACAGATAACAGACACACACACACACACACACACACACACACACACACACAAGAGAAAAACACATTATTAATTATTAAAAACAATTATGAATAATTATTTTTTTAAATGTGTGGTCAACAATATGGGTCGTTCAGTGCAGAGTTATTTTAGAATCACTGAGGTACTATTGTAGTTTTTATAAATATTTTGAAATTGTTTTTATTTCTATATTTTCCATTTTCGTTCAAATTTTAGTTAAAGTATTAGTAATTTTTTGTTGTATTTTGTAATTTTTATTAGCTTTTTCTTTAATTTATATATAATTATATTATTTCAAGTAATTAACATGTTTTTTTAGTTTTTGTTTAGTTTAGTTAACTACAATAACCCGGGTTCAGTTTAATATATTCAGACTATATTAAATGTATCATGCATTAACCAGACTCTCACATCTGGAATTAAAATTGTATACACACACTCCATAAATAACGCAATTTTCATTTTCACTGTCAGAATATAAACTAAACTAATTAGTGCAAGTCATGCAGAGAAAAACAAATCATATCTTCTCTGTCCAGGGTTTATCCTCAAGCAGAATACATTTTAGTAAGGTTTAATTCAATTAAGGTTTAATCAATCTGAGTAAAATGGAAGATCCATTATATGTATCTTCGAAAACATTCATGAGACACAAATGTTATTCTATGTCTATTAAAGATGAATTTGCCTTCAAGTGTAATTAAATGTCAAAGTCTAATTAAAGTCCGGCTGTGTTGCACTCTCACAGATAACAGAAGCGGTTCATGCAAGTGTGTTGTGAGATAAACCAGTGTATATTCATGTCTTCGTGTGTCGGTGTGCACAAATTCACTGTTGTGATCAAAACCTGCGTTTGTCGAGCACTAGCAACTGGAGCAGCGAGAATCAAACACAACAGTGCAGAGCTTCATCTGGAGAGTTTCCCCGACACATCAGAGCATCTGCACGTGCACGCGTGTGTGATTGTGTGTAATAATCAGTCTAGAGTAATTGCTATAATTCACCCTCATGCTGAGAAAACTCCTCTGTTCTGAATTCACCCTCTGTGTCAGAGACATAAACAAACACACCACTCTCATCAGCGCTGTACACAACACACACGCACACACACACACATGCGCAC